TATCATGCTATAAAAGATTCTCCCCCCCCTCAAAAAAAATAGAATAGCAAATCACCTTGTATATTGCAACATTCACTTTGTTTTTCATGATTATTTTTTAAAAATAGTGCGATACCTTGTGACATAATTACATTTTTTTTCAATTCAATATGAACCCTTCCGTTCCGAACAAACGCAAGTGCCGTTTGTGTGGTTTCTCCACAGCCTCCGTGGGACAGCCTCCCGCAGAGCCGTCGCTCCAGCTGGACCAGCCTGGGCCGGGCCCCCAGCCTCCACCGCCGGAGCCAGTCGGGCGAGATGGAGTCGCTGCTCTCCGACGGCGGCAGCAGAGAGGCGTCCTTGGACACCCCCGACTACCTGCAGGTGCCCCACTTGCGCTCGCCCGACTGCAACGGGACCGCCGCCTTCCCCATGCCCGAGCACGCTTACGACGACGCGCTCCAGACGTCGCTTTACCACGTGCAGGCGGAGGACGAGGACGCGGAGGAGGTTGGCAATCTGAACCCGGGATCCTATTGACCAATAAACCAGATTCAGTCGTTGGAGGTGTAACCGCCATCAAAACCAGAGACAAGTGTCATGTTGAATTTTTTTCTTTCTGATGAGAAAATGCAGTCCCTTGATGGAGGATGTCAATCATGTGCCATTGCAGACTTTGTACCAGAAGCTGAGGAAACTGCTGGAGCCGTACGAGCCTCAGTGGTGCGTGGAGCACGAGGATTGGTCACTCTACGTCTTCGCTCCGCACAACCGGTAAATCCCCTTGCGTGCGGCCGAGCGGGCGGCGTGTCCAAACACGTACGCGCGGTGTTGACAGAATGGCTGTGTGTGTGTGGGTGTGTGTGTGTGTGTGTGCGTACGTGCGTGCGTGCGTGTGTAGCTTCCGGCTGTGGTGCCAGAAAACCATTGGGCACAAGATGTTCGATCACATCATCCTGCTCTTCATCTTCCTTAACTGCATCACCATCGCGCTGGAGAGGCCCGACATTCATCCGCACAGCATGGTAACGCTCGTGGTCGCGCACGCATGCTAACATACATAACGTACAGTGTGGCAGCTACCGGATGCTTCATTAGGTACATCATACAGCGTGTGCATCATTTCCTTTGTGTATGCTTGTTAAACACAAGACGTCTGAAAAAAAACAAAACTATGCATTCTAATTTGTCTAAATATAAAAATGGGTTAATTTTTATTCAGATATTTTTTTTAATGCATTGGGTTGTCCCGGAGCAATGCATTTTATTTTATTGGATTTCTTCCCAAAGACAATAAGAATGATGATGAGAATAATAAACAATAGCGAATTGTCCCCCGGTGTGATTGTGAGCGTGAATGGTTCTTCCTTGATGTGTGTGTCCTGCGATTGGCGGGCAACCATTTCGGGGTGTGCTCGCTTTCTCCGCCTACCGCCCGGAGAAAGCGAGGAGGGGCTCCGAGCACGCCCGCGACCCACGTGACGATAAGCACTTCCGAAAATGGATGCATGCGTGGATCTTTGAACTTCCACTTTTCATCTACGTTAGCCATCTGGAGGAGTTTATCTCCCCCTCCCAACCCCCTTTGGGCAACATGTGTAACAGCCAACCCTGATTATCACGATGGCAACGTCCCGCTATCTTTTTGATTATCCTTTCATCTTCCACAGTGGTAATTGTTTTTGGGTTTTTTTTTTTTACGTTGGAACGTGACAGCAACTTGAAAGCGGTAACGTGTGACAAATGTGTGTGTGTGTGTGTGTGTGTGTGTGTGTGTGTTTTTTTTTACAGGAGCGAGTGTTCCTCAGCGTGTCCAATTACATCTTCACTGTGATCTTTGTCGGTGAAATGATGGTCAAGGTAAGTGTGATCCGCTTCACGCTGGGGCCCGCAACCAATTTGCATCGTCACATTTTTGGAGACACGTCTATCACCTCACCTGAACGTCCTGAAAATAGACTGACTTCAGCACGTCACTAATCAGAAAACACACATTACTTATTAAATGTTTTCCTAGTTTTGTGGGGCACTAAGTAGGTACCAATTGGGGTTCATAAATCTTATAATCTTACTATAAATGGTACCAATTGACTTGTTGAAGTTTTTTTTTTTTTTTTTTTTTTTTTTTTTACGAAATGGCACCAATTGACTTGTTTAAGTTTTTTTTTTTTTTAATCATGAGACAAATTGGACGCTGTTGTTATAATTCTCTTCTAATGTGATGAAAAACCCGATTTGCGTGTCTTAACCATGTTTTATTTTTACTGCCTAGCTATCGGATTTGAGGGGCATTTATTACATGACCGTGACTTGTCTGCAAACACGTTTTTCTTGTGTTGTGGGCACCTCAAACATAAATTCCATAACCTTGACAGCCATTGTACTAAAGGTGGAATTGCTTAAGTGAAACTCACCAATCAGTAAGAGAATGTGATGTGTATGTGTATATAAACCACCCGTCTTAATGTTAATCAAATTTTTAAGTTGATATGATTTATGAAAATATAGAATCGTGTGAGTAAAATGTTTCGGATTTGAGTGCCGCTCATCACATAATCTTACGTGAATTAGGACTATTTGACTTCATTTTACTTGCAATACAACCCAAACTATCATTTCATGTTCTTCAAATTTGATTGGAAATACGACTTAACGGGCATCTGTGTTCAATGTTTTCTCCTGATGGTGCTAGCAATCATAAGCTAAGAATCATAAATCAGACAAACTTAACAGAAATCATCCTAAAGATCGACTCGTTTAATATTTGTGACTTAAACCAGAAACGAATATGATTTGTCTTGCAACATGTTTATCTGAGTTGTGGGGACCCGACGGTATTCACACAGCCGCAATCAGAGGGAACATAAATCATGTAGGCCTCTGACAAATGCAATTCATTGAGTTGTTCAAACATATTTCCTAATGTTGCAAAAATGAAATCATATAACCTTCATAAAAAAATGTCCAAGAAGTGGACTTCATCACAAGTCACAAATCAGGAAAAGAACTTGATTATGGTGTATGCAGACTTGTCTTGTCATTGGTATGGGGTCCTAAATATCTGTCACATTTAGGGTTCATAAATCACGTTCCTATTACAAAATCGGAATTCGCAAATAAGATGACTAACGTGATTTATGTGTGTAACCAGTTTCTTTTTCCAGTTTTGTGGGGACCTAAATCTGTCATAATTGGGGCTATGTAATCTTGAAACCTCACTAGAAATGTTATTGATCTTTGTTGTAGCTTCTTTAAAGTCTTTGACGTGCGTGTGTATGTTTGTGTGCGTGTGTGC